GACGAGCCGGTAGAGTCAGCGCCAGTAGAGCCAGCAGCCTGTTCAGCAGAGCCAGAAGAAGAACCGGAGCCAGTGGACGAGCCAGCGGACTGGTCGGCAGAGCCAGCAGCCTGCTCAGAGCCAGAAGAAGAGCCAGAGCCAGCAGAGCCAGCGGACGAACCAGCGAACTGGCCAGAAGAGGCACCCGACGAGCCCTCGGACGAACCAGCAGACTGACCAGAGGAGTCAGCCGCGACTCCAGCAGAGCCAGAGCCGGAGCTGGAGCCAGAGCCAGAGCCAGAGCCAGAGCCAGTCGAGGCACCGGAAGAGGCACCGGCAGCACCGGCAGAAGCGACCGCAGAGGCACTAGAGCCAGAAGCGCTGGCAGAAGACGAAGATGAACCGCCCTTGCAGCTGAGATCATACAAAGGAGTAGTGCTCAGATCGGCACCGGTGACACCGAAGCTAGGGCTGGAACCGGCATCCTCCAGGATATACCACCAGGTGTTGACATTACCGAACAGAGGGCAGCCAACCTCGTCCCAGTAGATCTTGGCATTCTCCGTGTTGGCGACAGCCAGGTTCTCGGTCTTGCCGCTGACGGGCCAGCCAGTCTCGGTGATCCAGACCTCCTTGCCCCCGGCGGCGGCCTTGGTCTTGGCGACGGACTCGTCGAAGAGAGCCTTGGCGTCCTCGATGCTGTTGGGCATGGTGTTCTGGAAGTAAGGGTAGCCGTCGAAGCCGAGCCAGTCGCAGGCTTCGATGACGGCGGAGTTGGTGCCGTTGACCCAGGCGGTCCAGGTGTCGACGTGACCGATGGTAGCGTCGCTGAGGGAGGTGCCGGAGATGGTGGAGCGGACCTGGTCGATGTAGGAGACGAGTTCGTCGGGGTTGATGCCGATGCCAGCGTGGGCCTTGACGCCGTCGACGGAGTTGCGGTAGAGGTCCTCGCTGCCGACGGAGATGCCGACGACGAGCTTGGTGAAGGCGTCGCCGTACTGGTCGATGGCCTTCTTGAGCGCGGCGATCTCGTTATCCATGCCGCCGCCGGAGGCCCAGAGACCCAGCAGGAGGGAGGTCTCCTCGGCGATGGCGGCGGGGATGGCGGAGATGGGATCGTTGGCGGTGCCGCCTTGGATCATGGTGTAGAGGCGGGCACTGGTGAAGCCGGAGGTGCCGACGAGGTTCTTGGCGGTCTTGAATTCGGCGGCAAAGTCGGATTCGACCTTGCTGCTGCCGTCGACCTTGGCGGCGCCATAGTTGAAGCCTTGGTGGACGGCTTCGGCGGAGACCAAGGTGAGGGCGAGGGCGACGGCGGATTTGAGGTGCATATTGAACGATTGGAGTTGGTATGAAGTACAAAAGAGAGTATGTGATTCCAACGAATGGAGTGATGATAGGGTTGGATAGAAACCCGATTCCAACGAGGGAGTGAATCAGGTATAAAGAGGGTATGAAGGAGAGAAAGAAGATTGATGGGAAAGAAACAAAAAGGATGAGAGGAGGAGAGGATGAGGAGCAAGAAATATAACCAGAAATATAACAAAATCAGAAAAGAACAAAAAAAACAAGGAACCGAAATCAAGAGAATAAAGAGAAGGCAAATCTAGACCTGGGTGGATCCCTCGTCGCGTTTCCCGACTCGAGGATTGTCTGGATCAAGTGGAGTCGTCGCCATTTATAGATCGTTTAATTGGATTGGAACCACCGTGCTGCATTCGGTCAACGTATGATTCGACAGGTAATGAATGAAGAGATTCGTCTGTGTGATGAGTTACATCCCTATTCACCCTTGAGCATGGTTGTAGAGTATGCGGAGTATGAGTATGGAGTACTGTAGATATAATATATTGATAGTGTACAATACTGATGGTATATAATTAGAGTATATTATAGTGTAGAATTGAGTATTCAGTTAGGATAGAGTCAGTATATAATTAGTACACAATTAATATATCATGAATCAATTATATATAGAATGAGACATGGATATGAAGCTATACATAGATCCCCCTTTCCATCCCCAGAATTCTCTCACTCCTCACCAGACACATCATCATCCTAATCCGTCAGTGGATCAAGGTACCGTATCATTTCTATCCATCTACCCCATAATCACCTCCTTTTAGGATAGCAACCTGAATAGAACAGTACAACCAAAACGATGATCAATCATCTACTCTCGGACCGAACCAGCTATGATCGACCAGATCCTTCTCCCATTCCAGTAATCCCACCGACAATCCGTTTCTCCACCACATCCCGTCGCCACCAAATTGGCACACCTTGGCACACAGCCGCCACTGGTTTTGATAGGCAACTTATCCGCGTTGTAACCATCAGACAGCACCCTGACTGCCTTTTCGCTCACCACGTTCCGTGGTTCACCCCTCCGGATGAAGACCGATTAGGGGAACCTGGTTCGGTCGGATCCCATTGTCTCGTCTCCTCTACTGAATTCAGATGGTCGGAGAAGAATTATCCGTCAACCGAAAAACAAGGTATTGGCGACAAAGTTTGTAAAAAACTCAATCGTCAACTCTATGGTTGGATGAAGCCCATCAGGAACGGAAGGTCGAGAATCTGGAGTAACATACAATGAACGATGGACAGGGAACGGTGTCATCCCCCCATACATGTTCGGCTTTCCTGCTGGTCGACCGCATTCGATTGAATCTCCTCTTACACCTACGGCTTCTCCTAACCCAACGGCAGATGACGGGGTGGGATATGCAAGTGATGCCTTCTTCCCCTTTTCCCTTCACCTTTTTCCTTTTGTCCCAGGCGGATCAGACATATCAATCGTGGCTGAATATCTTAAATATTCAAGTTTTCATGGCGAATGTTAGAGTCAACGTGTCCAATCGTCGCGTCGCTCGTCGCCCCTTGATCGGTGGTCTCGGCGGACTAGAGACGTCATGTAGATCTACACGGTAGTTATCATCGACGAGGGAGACGCGATTCATCGATAGCTACTACTCATCTCCTTGATCAAAACCAGAAACATATGAAATTGCATCTTCATGAAAGACTGGACATTTGCATGTAGTCAAAATACCCTGACCAGACGCGGAGAATCTCCGACACGGCGGACTCCCCCGACAACCGATATGCATCAATGCGGGGTGTCTCAGGATGCGGGGTATCGTAGTACTTAGTCGTAGCCTCATCATGATAGATACCAAATAAGCCACTCAAACCAATACAATGGCGCCCGGACTCGTGGAACCCCCTACTGGGGCAGCAGCTACAGCCAACAAGTCCGCCTTCCCAGACGGCCTCAAGACATCAGGGCAGCACGCCCCAGACTACACCCTCGTAAAGCCCTACGCAGCCTTCCCCAAGGAGATCACCGGTCCAACCGTCTGGCAAGCCGACGACTACAGGGATAGTCCTGAGCGATGGACGTACTCCTTCAATGAACGCGACATCGACGAGATCAGCACGGCTGCAGATCGGTTTATCCACGCGGGGACGCCTTTGACGGGTATCACCAAGGTTTTCACCCTCTCGTTGTAAGCCACGCCACCTACTAAGACGCCATGCAGGACCAATTCCCCCTCCCCGGTCTTTCCGGTCGGATGGAAGACTTGCGCAAGGATCTCATCGACGGGAAAGGCTTCTTTCTCTTCCGCAATCTGCCCGTGCAGGACTGGGACTTGCACAAGGCGGCTGTCGCGTACATGGGACTAGGCACGTACCTGGGGTATTTCGTAAGCCAGAACGGACGCGGCCATGTCCTCGGCCGTGTCAAGGATTTAGGGGAGGATCCGACACGGACAGATAAAGTGCGTATCTACCGCACGAACGCACGGTATATCTCCCCTCTCCTCCGCCAATCCTTTTGAAAGACACTAATACCAGGATGAAAAAAGACAATACTTCCACACAGACGGCGCCGACCTTGTCGGCCTCCTCTGCATCGCGAAATCCCAATCCGGCGGCGAATCCGACATCGTCTCCACGCACCACATTCTCAACATCCTGCAACGCACGCACCCAGACGTCGTCGAAACCCTCGCCACCCCAAACTGGTACTTTGACCGCAAGGGAGAAGTCTCCGCTGGCCAGGAGCCCTGGATCCGCGGCAGTGTCATCTACCTGGAAAACAGGACCGACGGGCAAGAACCCCGTGTCTACGCGCGGTTCGATCCCAACAATGTCACCTCGTTGGGGAGGTTCAACAGCGGGCCCGACGCGCGCATTCCACCGCTGTCTGTGAAGCAGAAGTACGCGATGGAGGTGTTGGAAACAATGTGCAAAGCACACGCGCTCCACATGATCCTCGCACCAGGCGACATCCAATTCCTGAGTAACTCGCACGTGTTCCATGCGCGCACGGCGTATGAGGATTATCCGCCTGGGGCGGTGGATGAGGCGGGACGGCCTTGTCGGAGACGGCATTTGATGAGGTTGTGGTTGGCTGTGCCGCAGGGTGAGGGCGGGTGGAGGTTGCCGTATCCTGATTGTGGGGAGGCGAAGAGGGGGGGGATTCAGGTTGATGAGCAGCCGCCGGCTTGTCCTTTTGATGCGGAGTAATCCTTCTCTGTATGTGGTGTATGGGGATGTGTCTTGTATTTTGTGGAGGGTAGTTGTATTGTCCGGTTGCCTAGGGTTAACTGAGGATGTGCAGTTCATTCGTACGTTGTACTATCATATCACTTTAACAGATCAGTAACCACACTATGACACCCGAGCCACCCGACAAGGATACCCATCAGCAGGATGCGTCCCCGCCCTGTCAGTCTGATACGCCCTATCCCCCCAAACGGTCTTCACCCCATCACGCCCCCGACCAGCCCGCATCGCATCCCACTCCCCATAAGCGGGCGCAACATCAAACGCCCTCACCGTCAAAGCCAACACAGCCTGGATCTCCCTAAACACGAGAGTCTGGCCAATACACGCTCTCGGACCGTGCTCAAAAGGCCGATACGCCCCCGGCACAGGATGCAGCGGATGCGTCTCGGGGATGAGGAAGCGCTCGGGGAGGAACTCGGTCGGACGGGGCCAGACGCGGGGGTTGGCGTGCGAGGCGGGGTGTAGGACGAGTGTTGCTAGGCCGTCTGTGGGGTAGATTGTGCCGTGCCGGTCTGTGAGGGTGTGGTTGGTGGCGCCTTGGCGGAGGGTTGCGGCGGGGGGGTAGAGACGGAGGGTTTCTTTGATGACTGCTGTTGTGTAGACGCAGTCGTTGAGGAGGGCGGGGCGGGCGCGGAGCAGTCCAGCGGGGTTGGGGTCGGTGCCGAAGATGGTGTCGTGTTCGGTGCGGAGGCGAGCGAGGACGGTTGGATGCTGCGAGAGCAGGTGGTATATGTAGACTATCGTGCTGGAGGTGGTGTCGTTTCCAGCGAAGAGGAAGAGCCGGATCTGGTGGGTAGCGTAGCGGGCGAACGATTCGTCTAGACGGTTGGGGTTATGGTTCCCGTCGTTGGTGGTGCGGTAGGCCTCGAGAGCGAGGGAGATGACGGATTTGCCTCGCTTGGGGGAGGAGTCATGCGCTTCGCAGAATCGCTTGTCTAGCTCTGTGCGGATGTAGCGATCCATGACAGAGCCGTAGTAGCGCTGGATGAATGGCCGGAGGGGATGTGCTAGAATGCGCGGGTCCCAGAAACTGTGCCATGTGGTGACTTTGTTGAGTGCTGTGGCTAGGGGGTTGTCGGACCGTTGGTAGTCGAGGTCGGCGTCTCTATATGGTAAGTAAGTAGGTGCGTAATTGTTGAGGACGGGGAGAATGATAGGGGGGGGGGAGGCTACAGCGTCACTTTCAGGATGACATCCATCGTCAACCGAGTGGTCAAATCATCAAGAAGAAACATCCCCTTCCCAACTCGATCGCGCAACTTATCACTAAACACCTGCGCCGAGTCCACGATACTCGGCACAAGGTCAGTCATGCTCGCGGCGCTAAAGCCAGGATTGAACAAGGCGCGCCAGCGTTTCCACTCTGCGCCGCCCATGGCGATCAGACTAGGACCGCCCGTGATGGGCGTCATCGCGTGGGCGAACTTTTCGGTTTTCGGCAGATTCCACTTGGAGGTGATCTGAATCGCGGCATCCGGGTCGTAGATGACAAGTTCCGCTGGGTAGATGGGCCACATGTCGAGGAGGAAGATCTCGGTGGCGCCGTACTCTAGGGCTAGATCGCGAACGGCGAGGTTGACGCTCACATCGCGGGGTAGGGTCTTGAGGTATTTGTTTAAGACCAGGAGATGGCCCGTTAGCCAGCTCCATTCGGGCATGGCCTGTCGCGTATCAGTCAACTGGTCGGTCTTTGATGTGGTAGACTCACCATCCCCTGTTGGCGCAATCGGTAGATGCGCCGTCGGTGGTGATACCCAACATAGAGTCCATATCCTACAGCCGTCAGCAGAGCGAGGCTGACGGTTATTATGAGACTGGCCGTCGACATTCTACACTTTAGAGAATAGAAGAAGGGAGAGAGAATGACGATGTGATAAATCTGTAAACAAACATGCCAAACTAGTCGATCATTCCTTGATTCAATATTTGAGCTTGATAGATCGATCAATTTGCCCCGACTAGTAGATGCTATTCCTCATGCAGCCTAGCCATCGCACTCTTCTTTTTCAATGTTGGAAATTGGAGAATGGTCTGCCCGCTAGACATCGGGTTTGAACAAGTATAACAGTGAGCGATTCATGATATCTCTCTGGGAAGTGAATATTTGTAGAGTGTTTGTTTACCTGTTTAGATCGAGACTGGGCTACGATAGGATACTTGGCAACCGTCTTTGGTACTGATGTCAACATCAACCATGATATTCTAACTTATCCTAATTCCTCTGGAGTAAAATCTAGGATAAATCAAGTACGGGGCGTATATTTATCAATCCAGGTCGACTTTATGTCTTCTCAATAAAAGCTCAGGATCCAAATACCGAATACGGCAATCCGTCCCACATACCTACCAACAGGATGACGGATTCATCACGGTTAAGGAAAACACGTCTACGGACCTGCAGATATCTGGATTATCTCCAAGAATCCCCTGCATAAGAAGAGCGAATTTCATAATCCAGACCTCCACTCATTGGGAAAGAATTTCCTGTCTTGATAAGGCTCAAGCCACATCCACACTCCTAACGCGCGATCCAATGAATATCCCCGACGACCCCGCCATATCTCAATGACTCATGCTCATGCTTGCATTGACGAGGTACCTCTGTCCTATATGAATGGCATCCAGCCTGAATGAAGTCCAGCCATACAACACAGCTCAATCCCAGTTGATCCTTACCATGGAGGCCCCGAAGAACCCCCAAACCACCATATCGCCCCTCGAGGTTGACGAGTCTTCTGTCGGAGTCGGACCAAGTACCAGCCCATTCAGAGATACCCCCCATGATGGTGGGGTCCACACATCCATCACCACAATTCACTCAGTCGCCGACCCCCCAGCATCCCACGAGCGCTCCACTGACACCGCCGAGAGCTTCCCCGACGGCGGCTACCGGTCATGGCTGGTCGTCATGGGATCATTCCTGCTACTCATGTCCTCCTACGGACTGATGAACTCAGTCGGAGTGCTGCAGTCCTACCTCGAGAACCACCAGCTCTCAGACTACTCCAGCCAAAACGTCGGCTGGATCTCAGGTCTTTTCGTGTTCATGTCTCTCGGGCTGGGCGTGTTGGTCGGACCCATGTTCGACACATACGGGCCCCGAGAGCTTGTAATGTCCGGATCTGTCTTCTACGCAGCCAGTCTCTTCCTGACAGCCGAATGTACGCGCTACTGGCACTTCATCCTCTGTTTCGGCATCATGGCCGGCATAGGCGGCGCCCTGACCAGCACGGTGGGCATGTCGTGCGTACCGCACTGGTTCCAGGCGCGCGCCGGCATGGCGCTCGGCACGGCGATGGCCGGGGCTGGGCTGGGGGGTGTCATCTTCCCGTTTATCCTGAAGGGAGCGTTCGCCAGTTTGGGATTCAAGTGGGGGATGCGCATCTTGGCGTTTGTGGTTTTGGTTTTGTCCGGGTTGGGCTCGTTCTTGGTCAAGTCGCGGCTGCCGAAGGGGCAGCTCAAGGCGGCTATTGATATTCGGTGTTTTCGGGACTCGCGCTTTACGTGGTTGAGTGCGGCGATCTTCAGTGAGCTGGCTTACCTGTCATTTGGGGGGTATCGCTAACGCAGGATAGCACTGGAGCTGGAAGTATTTGCCCTGATCGGTCTCTACCCGACATACGTAGCCAAGCAGGGATTCAGCACCAGCGCCAGCGTATATACTTTAGTTGTGTTGAACGTGTAAGTCAGTCGTGTTACATACACCGTCTGTTCAGGCCCTAATCAAGAACGAAAACAGATGCTCCTGTATCGGCCGACTCCTCGCCGGCCGCATCGCCGACCGTTACGGCCGGCTAAACGTACTCATTATCTTAATCTCAGCAGCAGTGATCACTATCTTCGTCATCCTGTACCCCTTCAGCCACCACCTCCCAGCACTGTATCTCTTCAGCGCGCTGTACGGGCTCTTCTCGGGGTCGTTCATCAGTCTGGCGCCTGTTTGTATCCGTCAGGTGTCGCACGCGAAGGAGATTGGGATGCGGTTTGGGACGTGTTACTGCCTTGTTAGTTTTGCGTATGTGTCCCATTCTCAGGTCTAGACAGGAGACTAACCGTTGCAGCACGTTGATCTGTATTCCTATCGGTGGCGAGGTGCTTGAGAAGGTCGGGTCGCGGATTGTGGTGGTGTGGCTGGGGTGTGTGCTGCTGCTGTCGACGCTGCTGTTTCTGACGGCGCGGTGGGCTTGTTTGGACTATAAGTGGCATTGGCGTATCAAAATTTGAACCTGGTATGTCTAAACTAGGGATTAGGTATGGTTGACTTTGCGACTACCGTGTTACTGGGATTGTCAGGTGGATCTGCTTGGAAATAAAATAGGGCTAATAATCGAAGGAAAGGATTGATAGGAGTGTGGGATGGTAATAAAAGTGGAAGATGGAGTTAAAAATCTAACATGGCATTTCATTCCTTTTCTTCTAGGCAATAATCGTGTGAGAGAATCAGTCACTGCCATTTTTTATTGTAACAATATCTAGTGGTGTTGAAATATGACCTTTGCACCTAAGCGGGTAAGCACCACAGTTATGTGATCAAATATATATTGTACAATATAGATGTATAATGGGCAATAATCGAGTATTTTTGCTTTTAATGCAATTTTATTTGATAAGAAATATGTTTGACAGCCACTGAGATACCCTAGAAACATAATCTGTGTCACCCAAGAGGATGAGTTGTGTATACCTGGTATACGCAACAACCTCACGATCTCAACCCAACAGTCAATCAATGGTCGTTATATGGTCGTATCGCTCAAACGTCTGCCCAGCACATATAGTCAAAACAGAAAGTTATCTTCAACAACGGCCGGATGGATTAGTTGGTCATATCGTTTGCTTAACACGCACAAGGTCCTGGGTTCGAGCCCCAGTCTGGTCATTTCTTTTTGCTTTTTTCTTTTTACTTCTTATCATTGATTTTTTCTTATCTTACATGGCAAGATAGCGACGTATGCTGATATTTTTTTGTGGCTTACTTCGAAGCTTGATGCATGATGCCAAGATGTTAAACTCGTGGCGCCTGCAGTGTATATAACATCGTGCTTTGATTGATCCCTTGATCCACTTTGTCATGCATTCTGCCATGCATTCTCCTATGCTTCCAACAATAACCAAGGTCCTGACCACGGTCTTATGCAGACCGCTAATAACAGCCAAAATTAGCCTGACCCAAAAATTAAATCGATATCGTACTATGAAATTCTTCATTACAATTCATTCCCCACATCTGCCGACTCCATAACGTTATTCATACTCATCCATCCATATACGAAGTAGCTAACACCTAATGCCCATCCGACATCCCACCAGCAACAGTCGTACCCGGCGCAACACCAGTAAGATGCTCGACACCATCCGCATACGCCCATCCTATCATCATCAGCGCAATCCATCCACAATAAGATAAAAACATACCGAATTTCGGATGCACCAATAAACCCGGCGTGTAGATGTCCACACTGCGAGTTTTCATCCATTCCTCGATGCGGCCCCAGTCTTTGCATTGGTGCTGGCCTTGGTCGATACCGAGGGGGATTCGCGTCCTATTCTGATATGAGTGTTGTCCATATTCTTCAAATAAGAGAAGTGCGTACTCGGTACCCCATTGCATGGGAAAGACAGTTAGGTCGGCGTTACACTTGACCGCCTCCATCAAGTAGCTTAGACAGTGCTCTACTCAGTCAGCCAGTTGAGTTAGCCTAGTTTCTACTGCAATATTGAGGCTTCGACAGACCGCCGTGGTGCATCAAGGCGCGAGTCTCCTCAGCACTCTTGTTCGGGTGGTAATGATCAAAGTGCAGCAAATGGTGCACCCGCTTGATACAGTGGATGGAGTGGTAGACTGCTACCGAGCCGTAGATACCGGATCCGTCGCTGAACTCGACCAGACCTGGTAAGTCGTGGTAGTCTTCGTTGAGTTCATCGCGGGAAAGACGGATGTTTGAGTCTGGAGACAGGATAAGTAACTAGATGGTTTGCAGCGACGGGAGGAAGAAGGGAAAAATGCAGAACATACGCTCGAGCATCTCCGACCACACAGCGTCCGCTTCCGGACCAGGCGGACCAAACTCCTTGTGCTGTGGATCGGGGATGATCGTCCCATTGGGAAAGTACTTTGTGTCGACGGTGAGATTGCAGGTGGTGTAGGCCACTGCTTCTTCCATGGGACCTGTGGATGATCATGTTAGGGGTTGAGTGGGGAAGCGAAGAAGTAGAGAAAGACATGCTGCGAATGAGGTCCGGTCCATTGACCCCATACGGACAGTTGCTCTCCCCCCGTAGCCATAGCAGGACGGAGAGGCCGAGGATGACCGTGTTACAGACGAGAAGAACCGCGTGAGCGACCAGAGCTGCCGAGGAGCGATGTGTGAATGGGGTGTCTTCTTCTTCGCAGTGGAACTCTCTGGTTTCGTCGGAGTCGCGACTTCGAGGCAAGAATGTGTCCTGTTCTTTGAAAGTGCGGTCGTCCAGGTCGACGTTTAGGTCGGAGGATTGCCGTAGATGGGTGTATTGTGTGAAATCCCTCATGGTGGATGTCTGTTTGACCGAATTCGAGAAATGAGCAAGAAACATGGGAGAACGAGATGCTTTGAAAAGTCAAGCAAGGGAGGAATATGCCTGACGAGTTCTTCTAGTGCGTATAGTCGAATGTATACGTGTACATCGTGCATGATCTGACGTATCTGATCAATAGTTTGGAAGATGTACAGGACAGATCGGTCGGTGGGTTGGCCACCATGACTATAAGTACAACGTGCCTGTTGAATCATCATTCCCTTATTCCTCTATATTTTCTACTTAAATACCGTACAGCAAGACCTAGCATTGCACTATCTGTGTCCCCTCCACATCACGATGCACATCTCAAGTATCTTCATTGCCGCCGCTCTTCTGGCCATCGGGTCCCAGGCTCTGCCCTCCCAGGCTCTGCCCATTGGCGCTGAAGGTACAACGCCCGCTTCCAAAGCTGTAGTATAGAAATTCAGACTGATCCTGCTATAGGGAACGCTGCTGCCGCCTCAGATGGAATGGTAATCAGGAGTGATGCAGATAAGGGATACGAGGGCTTGACATAGATCCACTATATTGTAAGCTGATTCATTTCACCAAGATGTTACCGCAGGGAGTGCTTTTCTGTAACATGGATACCAGAGCTAATGAAAAGGTCTTCTGAGTAGGGCTGGCGACAGAAGGCTGGGTGCATAAAATGTAATAGAATTGAGATTAGTATAGGTACTAGTTGAGTTCTACCCCACGATTTTATCCAAGTTCGACTGTGTAGAAGCAAGTTATAGACATGACCATGTATCCATATTTCGCAATTAAAATGTGTTATAAAAGGCACCCACAGAGCGCAAAAGCGCCTAGATATCGTGTGTAGACAAGCGGTACCCTTTTTCATACCATATTACATGAACTGTCAGAAAGGCTTTTCTGCATTGTCATAATGGATGTCTAACGGAGTGGGAAAACCAAGCAAGATACACAAGGGAAAGAGAGATACCTTACAGAGTCAAGTGAAAGAAATGACATATCACCATATGTAGAAGGCAGCAGTTGCTCCTTTCTTGGTAGGCATCTCCTATTTATATCTACTCCATACATCGCCGCGCGCCGGCCTTATCAAGCTGTAGACGGGTTCCAGCGAGCGCGATTCAATGTATACGTGTACAGCATGATTCGATTTCATTTTACTATTGTTTGCATAGAAGACAACTGATGGACCTAGCTAATTATTCCCTCTGGAATCATGCTGCTACGTGAAATTAGCATGACGTTTTCGTTCTCATACACCGACGAGGACTTTTGAGAGACGGTGGCTGCGTACGTGGATGGTGAGTAGACAGGCATAAAGATATCACATCAAATAATCTAATAGATTCTAGGCAAACTACACGGCGTAGCGAAGATCGTAAGTAGTCGGATTAAACTGCAGGACGTGGTGAATTAGGGTTTCGAGCAAATAGTAGAGAACCATGACCAGCAGTCAAAGATCGTGGTCAGCCCTAGGTTGTAGATGTGAATATATATAGTTACAATCTTGAGTGATATGAAAAGACTATGAGATCTCCGCACTTGATTCTCTTAACCACTGCATGAGACGCCGCTTTCTACCCTAGGTGACAGCCGATCAACGGGCGCATCCCACATGTTTGAGCACAATATCACTCCTGTAATCGTCACTATAATCACTATAACGATGGATCTCTTCCCCCTGACCCATCCTGACAACCGCGCCCTGACAGGCGGCGATCTGTGGCCCAGTCGCTGAAGCACATGGCCGTCGAGGTGGCTTTTGGACTGCACGGCGTCCACCTCAATGCGTTCCTGATGATCGACGTAATTCTAGGGCCGCTACATACTCGCTCAGCTTTTAGTCATACTTGCTGAGCTGTGTCCCTGGTTTTGACAGGCTGGCAGCCTGAGGCTACCACCTAACAACCTGACGATTATTTCAGTCCCTATACCTTAACCTAACTGGTGATTAACAGTCAGGTTATGGTTAAGGTATAGCAGTCAGGTTAAACCACTTTAATCCTGATCTACTCTGTGGATGGATAGGGCGGATCAGGATCCAGAACAGATCCTTCCAAGGTCTATACACAATAGACAGGGCGCCTTATAATAAGAGCCTGAACAGGGCGCCTTATAATAAGAGCCTGTGCAGGGATTGGTTATACACCTATCAAGGATAATATGTACACAATAGACAGGGCGCCTTAAAATAAGAGCCTGCGTAGGGATTGGTTATATACTTATCAAGGATGATGTGTACACAATAGACAGGGCGCCTTAAAATAAGAGCCTGCACAGGGATTGGGCAATATCACCAGGCTTAATTCATACGCAAATTTTGCCCCTGGCTGATCGGCGCAGACTGAAGTGCAACCTCACAATCAAATTGCAAATTTGCTTGGGGCGAAATCTATTCTTAGTAGAGACTCAGGTCCAACCTTGCGGGGTGAGAGGTCATAGCTGAGCAACGATGCCGTGAGAGGGAATATAAAATAGACTCTTTGGAACTTGGAGATGAGTTATATCCATATCAGAAACAGCCCTTGAAGACAAATTGAGACTACTCTAAGAAAATGAAATTCTCCTCAGTTTTGCCTGCCTCGTTTCTTATATACTCCACGGCATTGGGTTGGAATATGGCATTATACAACACTGACTCATGCAACAATGGAGACATGAGCTATGTATGTGCAGCCATCTTTGGCTATATTTCTTCTCAAGCTTCCAGGGCTTTTTATTTGCTAATAGCCACTCATGCAGTACTACATTGAGGGGAGCAACGACGCAGATTCCGGGTGCATCAGTTTTCCTCACCGGATTCCGGATGGAGTTAGCTGTAGGTTCTATACCAATGGCGGCAAGGATCATACGAGCTGCGATAGAGGCACGTTCGTCCACCCAACTGCCTATACTTTATCAGACGGTCATTGTACAGTCTGGCATGGGACTGCTTGCGATGGAGGTGTATCAGGTGTAGGTGATGCAGTCTGCCACAGCGTGTTCCGACCTGAGTCCAACTGGGGCAGCATGAAATGCAAGAATGCATGAGCAGGCGGATTGATGAAGCAGAACAAGGCAGAAAGAGCCTGATTATACCTATGGGGGTAGAATTAAATCGAAATTAGAGTATTCCGATGCCTGGAGCGGTTTGAAATTGATTTTACACTGTGCAAACTGATCACTATAATCTGATCCATCCTGGCGCTAATACATACTTCAAGTCTGCCGTCACCAGTAGGCAAACATGACTAGAACTAACCACATCCTGGGGTCATGATAATCCTAAACTCTGGATTACAGTAAATAAAGAACTACTATGTCAAGACCCTAGGATCCCTTAATGCTTCTGCTGTACTAGTGTTGGTGACTTGGGTTATTTGATTAAGAACATCCTGCGATCTTTCTATATATACCCTAGAGAACCAAGCAAGATACACAAGGGAAAGAGAGATCCCTGCACGGCGTCCACCTCAATGCGTTTCTGATGATCGACGTAATTCTAGGGCCGCTTGACGTAGGGTATCGCATCCGGTGTATGGGGGTTACCAAGGGGTATGACAAACTACTAGACTACAAAATCATCCTGGGGCTCAAGTAACCTGATTCTAGTGATTGCCCCTATATAAACCATCCTTTAGAGGAATTAAGTACATACGACCATAGGGTGTGGAGAACAGGGCTTCCCGTCCGCTCAGCCGTACTTAAGCCACACGCCGGCCGGTTAGTAGTATGGTGGGTGACCACATGCGAATCCCGGCTGTTGTATGTTTTTTTCTCTCTTTTGATATTTCTATCCATCTTTGTTTTACGTTGTTGCAAAGAATTAAAAACGCGGTTATAGAAGTTATCGTGCCAATATTGGCCTGCGTAAGTAGGCAGACCTATGTTTAGCGCGACGTACTGCTTTTTTTGACTTACGACAGTGTAGAGACAGTGTACGGCAAGCCATTACGGCCTAGACATAATGTAAGGAAGAACAAAATAACCTCATGTAGTAAATTGGCTTTCTTGTATCTTTTGCCCTTGAATGACATCAGCAGTCCCCTATGGGATTTAACGTGTGAGGAATTGTTGCTGCTAAGTAACTTCTCGCTGATCTACTGTTGACTGCAAGCAAATGAGAGCAGGAAAAAAGAGTCAATCAAAAACAACTTACATCTACTATGGGTAAGGCATGTTACTAGGTAGTAAAGGACTGAGAACAGCGGTTGATAAGAGGACCTTCCCCTATTGTGCACCACTAGATCGTCACAAAAGACACCCATGTCATTTTTGGGCTTCGCATGTCATCCAATCTACTGCAATCTACTGCGCGGCTGCAGCCTACCCCTCAGTTGGTGCTGAGCTGGCCCTGCACATGTTGTGAGATCGCCCATACCAAACAAAAATAAGAAATAGGGAGAAGGGAGGACCCGTAACAGACTTGGATCTACATTTCGTTCATACGCAGATTCCCCCCCCACCTTTTTTTATATATTAATCCCCTATCAAAGCTTTAATGATGTCTCCGAAGAAGACTTGGTTTCTTCCACCTGATTTTACTTTCCTGGAAAATGGTCACCTCAAGCTAGGAACGGTGCTCGCTCACCCGAAGGATCCCACTCGAGTGCTCCTACATTCAGACAGTATCTCAGCGATAACGCCCTCGATCTGTTTGCCCTCAACACAAGTCCTGGTAGAGCCTAACCACGGCCATATTGACAGCGGAAGTACCTCAGTGGGGGGCAAGCTCTGGGCCAATTTCGTGCAGCTGGCGTCAGCGTCCATCAGTTTAGATCTAGAATGGAGAAAGAGTGTGGAGTATGGGGCCGTCGACCACGAAGTCCATGTGTTCAATCGAGAGTTCACGAATGATGCCCTTTCGGCTATCGTTGCGCAACCCGACGTGAAAAGTTTCATAGACAGTGGTCTCTGGGGTAAACGGCGGATCTATATTGTGTCGGGGCTGAGGATCACGACGACGAGTATGAAGGTGATGACAGGGCGGGGCACGGCTCGAGGAGTGGGTGTAGGCGGTTCTGCACCTATTGGTGGGCTCCCGGTGGAGGTAGGGGTTGATTTACACCAGGGGATAGCAAGGGATAAGATGGACTCCTATGAAACGGACCAGAGGGTTATTTTCGCCTACAGGTTGAGTGTTATCAAGCCGAAAAAGAAGGGTGGTGCTGAACCGGGAATACTATTCTCACACAGAACCGCATTTATGAACGGGGGAGTTGATGACGAGAAGGTGGAGATGGAAGTTGCTGATATTGATATGCAAGAATTGAGGGATGACCCTGGAGAGGAAGGCTTTAATTTTGTTGAGCATGCTGTTGGGGATGACGATGTTCTCATAACGTTAGGTTGAGATTGGAGATTATTGATCTTGGATGTAGTTAGCCGATCACTCTCATGTCATGCTGCCTTTTAGTGCTCTCTATTATCATGACCCTCGTAGATTGGTTCATTGAACCGCCGTATAGCTAGTGTACATCCAAGATCATATTTCTTGGAAAGCAGTATATTATGAATTTATACTAGAGATTATGTCTCCTGTAGGTAATTGTAGATAGTGTTGCATCTATCTTTCAACGTGAACGGACCTGTAAAAAAATCCAGCGGATTCAGGAAACGCTTCCTATTACCCATGTCGTTTGACATCCTGTAGAAGATCTTCTGAATTCCGTCCACGGTCCACGCCCTCTCAATAACGTCGTTGTTATAATCTCCATTTGCTGACGATCGGAGGACTGTGATGAAAGAGAGTATTATAGCTGCAATCCCGCCCGCAATAGCAGTAGCCACCGATGTCCCGGACTCGCAGACCAGCCTGGGTGGATGTTCGCGAAGTTCCTGGGGGATATTATAATCACTGTATGTTCCAAAAACATACGCCTGATTTTCCCCTTTAATCGGATTGGTGTCGAGAAAGACACCGAGTGGTGTGGTTGCACGCATACTTATCACGATTGGATGAGTCGCTGGAAAGGTTTCGTTTTGGTGTGGCCCAAAGTTTCCGGCACTGGCAAGGAAAATTATATTGCCTTGACGAGCAGCTAGAACCTGATAGATTGCACTTGAAATACCTTTATTTTTGGCGGGAAAACCAAATGACATCGTGACTATGTCTACCTCTTTGTCAAGACCAGCCCACCGGATAGCCTATTTGCGTCAGCACCGGATCGAACAGGAACAATAATGCTCCTGTCTCTGTATAGTAAGGAGAGACAAAAGAGGTAACGCATACTTCTGCAATTTGAGACGCACTGTGTTCCAGTCTTTCAGTGTTCTCTGCTACTCGAGCAACGAAAACCTCAGCAACGGGGGCAGTCTCAATCACCAATTCTGTCATCATCGTGCCATGACCATAAACATCAACGGGGTCCTGTGAGTCGGAAACAAAGTCTTTCCAACCCTTTACGCGATTTGACCGAGTATCGTCTTGGAAGAATCGAACGTCCGGGTCATATCCAGTATCCAAAACAGCCACGCGAATTCTTTTGCTACCAGAACACCCCTGGCGGAGCCCCTGGATAGTTTTATTGATAACCTTCAAATAGTCGAGCCACATTTCTGGATCTATCTTGTCACCAGTGTGGAATGAAGTTATGGTCATCGGTTGTTCATGATTTCGTATGGTAGAAGGTGTTGGCATCGGTTGTATATCATTTCGTATGGTATATAGAGGCTCGGGTTCAGCTCTCCTGGACAGGAAGATGTTTTTTTCGTCAATACTCCAAAACCCAATCTTTGCCAGGCACCTGAGTGGCCAGACGACATTGTCGCGAATTATTTTGCGTCTTTGAGACATTCTTGAAGAGTTAGAAGTTGCAGTGTTGGCTGGAGCGTCGGGTGCTTGTTGTGACCGATAGAGGGCATAGTTCAAGCAAATTCCGATAGCTTTGTCATAGTAATTCTTGTTGCAAAAGTTGGGCCACGATCCTCTACTTAGTTCGATGAAGCTTTGAGTTGCGACGTCGAAATCAGAGTTGAGTTGGGCCACAAGGTTGTCACGAGGTTGTAGCTGAAGTGGTTTGCCGAGGCCAATCTCTAGTAATAGTATAGCCAGGGAGAGAATTCGAGGATGTTGGTGAATAAGTGAATCCGCGTTTGAGTATTCTTTTGTTTCCTCCTCCTCCGGTTCGAACTGGATTGATATGTATGGTTTGTTGGGAAGTCGCTCTCGCTGGCCACCATTCTCAGGCATGAAAAAAATAGACCTGCTGGACCATTTGTGCCGGAGATCTTTCATATCGTAAAATTGCCAGAAAGTCAAGGCTATACTATATGCCAGAAATATCTTTACCTTTACGTCGAGTTCGTAGTGTTGAAGAACTGTATAAAGCGACATCCCAACACCTGGGAGCACTCGCTGCTTCAATGCAAAACCGCCTCGCGATTGCTCAAATTGCATATCGACAAAGTCGAAGCGGATGCGAGCGAGATTATTTGTCTCTAGGAGCTTGCAGGAGCCTGGTGCCTGCGGTTCATGTGGGTTGTTAGGCAGGGAGGGATCCTCCCGCATCGCCTTTCTATTATCATATCAGCACCTATCACTGGAGCAAAGTATGGGTTGAAAAGTACAATGGTATTTTTAGAACAATATCCCGCCAAAACTTCATAGGATCAGATGAGAGAATAATGTCAAAAGATGCAATATCCCGACCCTGCTGGATCCCCTGCTGGAGAAGCAATCTGGTACAGTGCCTCGGGTTGCGCTGTCCCCCATTATCTCCGGTACATTGTTGAAAGCAGCGCGATTGACCCTTCAAGCCAGAGAGTAATTTAGTCCTTATATGCTCTGGATATTCATCCTGGGCCTGCTTTGGGGGTCTGGCAGGAATTCGGATAGGGCTTTCACCGTTATAAAGTTTCCGAATGTGATAGGATTTGGCTATCAGATTTTCTTTCCGGCCATGATCCTGGCGTCCCAAAAAGCCCACGATGTTTTGTTTCACCCGTTTGGAAAGTCGTGGATCGGACGGCCCGTGCTTGCCCTGCCATTATGGATGGTTTGTCAGAGTGTGCCACCCGACCTACACGAAATTTATCACTTGTGTCCATACCGTGAAAATAAATTCTAGCTCTTTGATAAAATCGGGCCATCTTGGAATCTCTTCTTCAACAAGAATGGCCAAATATGGATCTTTCAAAGCACCTGAAATAAGGTGTAGATTTGTCCCCAGATTGTAAGCATCTTGTGAACCATATTTTGCGCCGTATTCAAAAATGACCTGAGACACCTGTAAGATCCATTCGCTTCGCTGCATTTGGGGGTAGGTCATAAGGAGGTCGATATTGAGAGAAACAGCAAGTCTAAGTTTCAAGGCTAGTGAGAGAGAGAGTGTGTGAATATCGAGTTGTGGCCTGCGGGGTCGAGGACACATGTACACCTATGAAGATAAGCGCTCGCCGTGAACACTACGGCCCAACCCTGTAAAGCCAACCCTCCTTCTTTCCAGGACTCAGCTGCTCCCCCGTGTCAATTTCAGCTGATTCGGGCCCCCTCCGTCGTAGGCTCTGATCCACGGATGAGCCTTTATACACCGGTCGCAGAATTCTTCTCGCTGTGCCATATACCTATTGGACACATAGCTGGCACATCCTCTTATCATACCTTCATACCATACCCCGCTTATTACTCCTTGGTAAAGCTAATCAGCCTCAAGTATGAATATTGATACGCAGTCCGTGGCTAGCCTCACAATAAGATGTATGGCGGCATTCAGCGACTGTCAAAAAAACGCCAGTCTCCTAAGAAACCAATGGGCAGAAAATCGGCTGGCAGATTTCAGCCTATGGGCACATGGAGTCGGGGCGCTGGCCGCATCCCAAGCATCCTTAGATGCTAAATGTCAGTCAGAGCCAAGCACACTCATGGTGGTTAAGATGAATCTTCTCATGCTGGAACAATCTCTCAATCAGTGTGTTGATTGCGCTGAGAGGGCCAAACGAGTTGATGAGGCCACCACGAATGTGGATTCAGCACTCGAGAACTTGAATTTGCTGGCTGTGGCTATTCGTCGTACAAGCCGACGGGCACAACTTGAAAAAGCCGATCAAAATTTTGACCCTGAAAACCATACGGAATTGGCGACTCTGTTAAAGATACTGCTCTGTTGCCAGCTTGGTGCGAGAGAGAGAGATGAAGGATCCCTGACCAGGCTCAAGAAATTGACAACAGAGGAACGTGTACTGGAGTTGCAGTCAGCCTATTTGTCAAGTGCTCAAGAACGTCTCTTGCAGACAAACCTTCGACGGAGAAACCGTTTTCTGCAGGCTCAGAAACACATTGGAGAATTCACCCTCCCTGAAGCGGCTGAACAGGACAAAAAGGAGAAATGGAAGCTTGAAGATGATACAGAAGCAACAGAGTATGAACAAGTGGATACAAAAAAACAGCAGGATTCCCCAGAAATCAAGTCTCCTGGCCCCGCGGAAGCGACTATTACCGGAAGTTCAGCGCCTGGCCCGGAAAGCAGCCCGAGTACCGAAAGGGAAAGGATGCCATCGTCGCAATTGACCATGTCGTCTATTGCCACATTGGCAGCTGTGGCACAATATCCCAAGCCCCCAAAGATTCGAGATGGCTTGACAATGTTTAAGTGCCCTTGCTGTTGTCAAACACTACCTGTCGAAGTTGCAATTGAAGAAATACGGTGGAAGTAATGCTCCCGAATCTCCTCTTACATGTGCTTAGTGCTGACAGGATTGAACAGGAAACACCTCTCAGAGGATCTTAGCCCCTATACTTGTCTTCTTGAAGACTGCCCGACTGTATTTGCCACATATACCAGCAAATATGATTGGGAGACTCACGTCAAAAACAAGCACCAGCCTCGACATCTGTGTCCTTTCTGCCAGGTTATGAACGCAGTATTCGTGGGAGAGGAAGCTTTTTTGAAACATCTTCAAGCAAATCATGCAAACGCGGCATCTGAAGATTTAAATAAGGCCATCATGCTGCATTCTACCGTCCTCACCATCGGTGTCACCTACTGCCCACTTTGCAACTCCCCTGGATCAGAATCAGATCCCGAGTTCATTAGACATGTTTTGAGCTGTATGCATGAATTTTCGTTGCGTTCTCTTCCATGGGAAAAAGAGACTCCCTTGGGTTCCAGACCGATTGATGGGCATATTCTTGGATTAGTGGATGATGCACACGTACTTCAAAGGTTGAGTGGCCTTGAGCTGCGTGAGATGGGACAAGCCAAAGTCTCGCAATTCGACAGCAATGAAACATTGTCGGGGAAGAATAACGATGGGTACTTTGCCATCAACAGTCATTTTGATTTTGAGGCTGCCACAGACTCGTTCAAATCACTAGAGAGGAGTTCCGAACTGTCCGCCCAGCAAGAAGACGATATAGATTATCTCGAAAAGATGTCTGCAACTCAGTCCGTGTGCCTCTCAGGGGATGGTCGAGCCATGGCGTCTGGCTCGACCACTGGTGCCCTCAGAATGTGGAATATCACATCAGGCACCGAGAATGCACCTTTCCGGCCCCAATATCATTCTGTTCAATCCCTGGCCTTTTCCCCAGATAGTAAAATTGTGGCATCGGGATTAGCCAATAATACTATCAAGCTCTGGGAAGTCAAAAGCCGCCGGTGCCTGCGCACTCTCGAAGGTCATAGTGATTTAGTCTACTCGGTTGTTTTCTCTCATGATTCCAAGCTTCTTGCCTCTGCTTCGGGTGACCAGTCTGCCAAGGTCTGGGATGTTAACAGCGGACTGTGCCTGCAGAGCCTTGAAGGCCATGATGATTCAGTCAAATCAGTTGCTTTCTCTCATGATTCCAGGTCCCTTGTCTCTGCTTCATTGGACACCACCGTTAAGATGTGGGATATTACAACAGGTTCGATGCAACAGGCTTTTACAGGCCATTCTGGACCCATTGGATCCGTGGCTTTCTCCTGGAATGATCAAATTGTGGCATCTGGCTCAACTGACGGTACCATAAAACTTTGGGAAATCTCAACGGGGTCAGGGCAGCAGACCCTTATGGGCCATTTTTACCCTATTCAATCTGTGACTTTCTCCCGGGATGACCAAACTCTGCTGTCTGGCTCAGAAGATGGTGATGTCAAACTTTGGGATATAACAACAGGTGAAGAGCAACAGACTATTGGAGGGTATTTTTATTCCATCCAGTCTGTATCATTCTCCCGTCATGGTTCAATTGAGGTGTCTAGCTTGGCAGATGGCACTATAAAGTTCTGGAATATACCGCCAAGTGAAGTGCGACACACACCCGAGGGTCGTCAGTACTCTGTCAAATATGTGAACTTCATGAAAGAGAATCGAACCTTGGCGACTGCGGTGCACGATGAAAAAGTGGAATCCGAAGCTGCTTCTAATCCAAATGAAATTCTTGAGAAACAAGAACTACTGTCCACAGAGACACTGAATGCCGTACCAGCACAGTTTGAAGATGAAAGCTGGATTGTCCGACAGAGAGCAGTTGAAGCCCTTATAAACCAAAGCTCAGTGCCTGATATGACACTGATAGCTGTGGTAGCACGGTTTGAGGATGAAAACTGGATTGTACGAGAGGCAGCAATTGAAGCCCTCCAGAGTCAAGAAAATTTGTCTGAGGAGGTGTTGAAAGCTGTGACAGTACGGATTGAGCATGCAGATAGGGATGTTCAAAAGGCGGCACTTAGAGTCATTCAGAGCCAAGGACAACCGTCTGAAAAGGCACTAAAAGCTATGATAGCACGGCTCGAGCATGAAAATTGGGCTGTCCAAGAGCCGACACTCAAAATCATTCGGGCCCACAAGCCGCTGTTATGGGCAGCTATCAAAGGATCCGAGAAAAGATTCCTGCGGTTATTTGATCAGGGTGCTGAGCTGGATATGAATGATGAAATAAGCCAGAAAATATTATTCCTGGCAGTAAGGAATGGGCTTGAGAAAGTGGTCCGGTTGTTTTACGAAAATGGGGCTGATCTGTATCCAATGGATAAAGAAACACTACTATCAGCAGCAGTCAATCGTGGGCATGAGCAAGTAGTCCAGTTATTACTTGATAAGGGGGTTGATCTGAATCTCATGGATAAAGAAACACTCCTATCAGCGGC